AGGTAGGAAATTCACCAGATCAGGAAATAAGCAGTCGGCGTCCCAGATAAATAAATCGGCAATCACAGACCATGCCAAACAGAAAAACCATGTGATTGACTGGGATAACTCCAAAGTGTTTGACAGAGAGAGCAACCTGTTCAAGCGACAGATAAGGAAGCCCTCTGGATACGCCACAGTGGGCCAGTTCTAAATCGAGACGAGGGGGCTCAAAGACTCTCGCACATTTATGACCAAGTATCAAACAAAGCGTAGCAAAATCGAGTTATTTCGGTACATATATAACTATTGTATATACGCTTACAGCGTAGCCGAATCAACTCGGTTTTGTGGATAATCCGTACACATTTTACACCTTTGTGTGCATACGCTTCACTGGTCTTTTGTCTAATGAAGCTGACAGTGTACATATCGTACTAGTCATCGAAACGTCGCATATAAAATCTTATTGGTTGTGTGAAAAGAACCAATCTGTAGAAAATATTTAGAAAAAATTCTGACATTGTTTGTAGGCGATGTTGTATATTTATAGTAACATTTTGTGTTGACATTGTGATACATATTTTATAACCAATGTATATAGTTTAGTAACATTGTATGCTAGGCGGTGTGGTATATCTTTAGTAACAATTTGTGTTGACATTGTGATACATATTTTATAACCAATGTATATAGTTTAGTAACATTGTATGCTAGGCGGTGTGGTATATCTTTATTAACATTTTGTGTTGACATTGTGATACATATTTTATAACCAATGTATATAGTTTAGTAACATTGTATGCTAGGCGGTGTGGTATATCTTTAGTAACAATTTGTGTTGACATTGTGATACATATTGTATAACCAATGTATACAGTTTAGTAACAGTGAATGCTAGGCGGTGTGGTATTACTTTAGTAACATTGTACGTTGACATTGTGATACATATTTCATAACCAATGTATACAGTTTATTAACAGTGTATGCTAGGCGGTGTGGTATATCTTTAGTAACATTTTGTGTTGGCATTGTGATACATATTGTATAACCAATGTATACAGTTTAGTAACAGTGTATGCAAGGCGGTGTGGTATATCTTTATTAACATTTTGTGTTGACATTGTGATACATATTGTATAACAAGTATATTTAGTTTAGTAACATTGTATGCTAGGCGGTGTGGTATATCTTTTTTAACATTTTGTGTTGACATTGTGATACATATTGTATAACCAGTATATTTAGTTTAGTAACATTGTATGCTAGGCGGTGTGGTATATCTTTTTTAACATTTTGTGTTGACATTGTGATACATATTTTATAACCAATGTATATAGTTTAGTAACATTGTATGCTAGGCGGTGTGGTATATCTTTATTGATATTGTACGTTGACATTGTGATACATATTTTATAACCAATGTATACAGTTTAGTAACATTGTATTCTAGATGGTGTGGTATATCTTTATTAACATTTTGTGTTGACATTGTGATACATATTGTATAACCAATATATTTAGTTTAGTAACATTGTATGCTAGGCGGTGTGGTATATCTTTATTGCTATTGTACGTTGACATTGTGATACATATTTTATAACCAATGTATACAGTTTAGTAACATTGTATGCTAGGCGGTGTGGTATATCTTTAGTAACATTTTGTGTTGACATTGTGATACATATTGTATAACAAATGTATACAGTTTAGTAACAGTGTATGCTAGGCGGTGTGGTATATCTTTTTTAACATTTTGTGTTGACATTGTGATACATATTGTATAACCAGTATATTTAGTTTAGTAACATTGTATGCTAGGCGGTGTGGTATATCTTTTGTAACATTTTGTGTTGACATTGTGATACATATTTTATAACCAATGTATACAGTTTAGTAACAGTGAATGCTAGGCGGTGTGGTATATCTTTATTAACATTGTACGTAGACATTGCGATACATAATTTATAACCAATGTATACAGTTTAGTAACATTCTATGCTAGGCGGTGTGGTATATCTTTATTAACCTTGTGTGTTGACATTGTGATACATATTTTATAACCAATATATATAGTTTAGTAACATTGTATGCTAGGCGGTGTGGTATATCTTTATTAACATTGTACGTTGACATTGCGATACATATTTTATAACCAATGTATAAAGTTTAGTAACATTGTATGCTAGGCGGTGTGGTATATCTTTATTAACATTGTGCGTTGACACCGTGGTATACAGTTTACTGTCATTGTGTTTTGACAATGTTGCACTGTGTTATATATTTATGTGTTTGATAACAGTGTGCATTTTCAGTATAGTGTATGTCTTATCAACGTTGTGTGTGGATATTTTGTTATGTATTTTATTAATAGTGCGCATGTTAAATCCAGTATATAATTTAGATACATGGAAGCAAACAAAGTACGTCTGGTCGATTTAATGTAATATTTGTCTAATAATGAATCACAACTGGCGAAATATTGTATTTCCGGTCAACCGACCCTTAGGCGCCAAAAAGTATATGTGAAATTGTTTAAAAGTCGGTTGGTGTCAAATATCCTTTTCAGTGTATTACAAATACCCAACAAGATGACAATGTTTATCTGTGTTCAACATTTCAGCCGTCAATGTGTTTAAATGGATATGAAACACGGTAACATTTAAATCAGTCGACTGGTTTACATTTTTGATCAAAGTCCCTTTTTCCTGATGAAGTGTGTACCCAACTGTTAACTAATTCAAATCAATGATTTTACCTCGACAAATACAACCTTGCGATCCTTTCCTCCAATAGAGACATTTTTTTTCAAATTACAAACATCCGCTTCTGTGTGTGTTTATGAGAGTCCTATAGAGTGAGTTTGTTGATAGTAGCGTAAATGCTAAGTGGTCTACGTCAAGGCTTCTGTCATTAAGTGTGACTAATTACAGGTAGTTATCACGTTACTCATCATATAGACATAAAGATGCCACTAGGACCAAGTTTTTCACGCTACCTCTCCGTACTATTGTACACGTGGCCTATCAGTTTGTGATCATCTATCGTAGTTGCTTCACGTGACTCAATCCAATTCAGTTTACCGTATTCTACAAAGGGATATAAACAGTATGCGAAGAAGAGAATTATCTTTTTTATAACTTAAAAGGCAATGTATACAGCAATTTTGTTGTTAAATTGCTGATGACTTAAAAAATCAACAGGTTTGGCACTTGATTCTACCGATTTGTACAGTGCAACTCGCGAACTTCCACATTAGAAAACAAAAGAATACAGAGTTGTCATCAAAACTGTAGTTCGCATCAAAATAAATAAAATGGGGTGCATATCTACAGAAAGGAAAGACAAACTCTTGAAAAATAACATCAAGAAAAAGATTAAGTGTTCCAGAAGAGTAAGCGTCCCTGTTTCATCGATGACCTCCGGCACGTAAATTTAGATAGAATAAAGGAAATGTCACGTTCTCTAAGTGAAAATCAGGGAAGTGACAATGAAACATCAAGTCAACCTAATGAGCATAATTAAATTCATCGACCTCCCTATCATACGAAAAATATATACTATGTAGCATATGAAGTCATGATGGCGAACATAAAACTTGCCGAAAGTTGACTTTCAGAAATTTTCGAAAATTATAACGTTCGGAAAATAAATATCATTTAAACTGCGACATGCAAACAACGTAGGGATGTTACTATCACAAAAGAGAAAGTTCACGATAGAAAGAATTGAAATCGTCCCGTTTTTCGTACAGTTAAGTAGTAAGCCGTCGCTGTAAGTCATGGTTTAAGAAAAGATCGAGGAAAGCGGCTGAAGCAGAAGACTCGGTAATGAGTTGTATTTCATGCTCATGATGTTATATACGATCGACATGGTTTGTATGTCTTAATGAGAATTTAAGGACTTGACAGGTTTTTGTTACCAGTCTTCATAATCTATTGAGACAAAGAGTATAGTAAATAAGCTAAATGTATAACCAAGCCAGTTCAAAAGTCCTCACCACCAGGGATTATGTAGGGTGTCACTTTCCAACTTTCGGAATATATGGGGCGAGGCCGGAGACCAAACCCTTTAACTGCACGACTGTACTGTTGGCTGTCAAAACCGCACATAAACGAAATACGGACATAAACGTAATGACGCGACAATATACTCGACGTCATTTCATATCATGGCGTTAATCGAGTTACATTCGCATAAGGCAATTTACAAATCTCACAGAGTCAAATTTGAAGAGAAAAGAATCTATTATTTACATAGCAAATAATGCTAGACAAACAACTAGGATATACTACATTGTAATGGATCCTTTCTTATGGTCATACAATGAGATATAAATGACCTGTTATTATGCATTTGTCTCTTATTTCTGTTCGGAAATACCACTTCTGTGGATTATAAATGAAATGATTTGCTTTGGAAAGACAAAAACTTATCCCTACCGTGAAACATAGAACTACCGATGTTCTCCTTATTTTTGTGTTGATATTATCCAATGAAAAGAACAGAGATTGATAATAATTGAAGACTCAAGTTAATGCATTGCTTTCATATTGAAATACAGATAATGTCCTCTCGCGACACCTCTTGTACTTTTGTTTGTCTTTGCCCTTTGTTTCCATGATTTACAATTCAGCTAGACCTCCGACGTAATGTTGACATCAAAATTCCTGTACACATTCGAAAGATAATAGCGCAAACAGTGATTCATGACTGTTTCCTTTCTCGTTTAATTCCTGACGGGAAAATGTCGCTTTGTACACCACCGAAAGAAATAAAACAGAACTTACATCATGACGGCGACCTAAGGGTCGACATAGAGCGCCGTAAGTTTGTTTAGTGCTGTCTGAATACAGTTCTTAATTACAGAGACTTGTTTAGATGATATTTTGTCATCGTCTATGTCATCGCTCCTTTGTGTTGGTGTGGGATGACGAAGGTTTGGTATACTGATCGATGTGGCGGGAGATCGCATACCCTGTGATAGCGCGGAAAGACCTATCCCTCACAGCCACGCATACGCGGAGTGCGCGCCCAGCCGTCCAATGGCGACGCGTCCTTGCCTGGCGCTGAGTTTTATGTATCGGATACTGAGACTGGAAGACTATTAAGATCACGGGAACATGGGCTACACTACAGAACGGCTGGTGCATCATACAATCAGGTGACAGCGCTACAACACACAGACTATACAACCGTGCTTTACCTTATAAGGATATATCAATAGCAGGTGCTTTTTACTTTTATCAGGTAAGCTGATCTTTTTGCAATATTTTCCCCATTTTCTCTCCACAGTTATCATATAGATAATGATGCTATATAGATAATGGTATCAGCAGTTTTATTTTTTTAATTGCCCGTTTGTCCATGAATATTTTCTTCCATTTTATTTAAAGAATTTAAGTTAGCTATGCTTTATCCGTATTTCTGGACCATGTTATGGCTTAATCATCTCCCTTTATTATTGTGATAATACAGTAATATTCCACATGCATAGCCTCCTAAATCTATGATACCTGTGATCAACGATGTAAACGGCTAAAAGGTCATTAGTACATTATCTACCTTTATTGTTTTGATAGTAACTTATCACCTTTACAACCTACTAAATCCATTGATACCTGTGATCAACGATGTTAAGGGCTACAAGGTCATTAGTACATTATCTACCTTTATTGTTTTGATATTAACTTATCACCTTTAAAACCTACTAAATCAATTGATACCTGTGGTCAACGATGTTAAGGGCTCCAAGGTCATTAGTACATTATCTACCTTTATTGTTTTGATAGTAACTTATCACCTTTAAAACCTACTAAATCCATTGATACCTGTGATCAACGATGTTAAGGGCTACAAGGTCATTAGTACAAAAGCACAATCTAAACCAACTCTTCAGTAGTAATTTCAGAGAAACATATTTGATCAAAAGACCTATTCAATTAAAACCATACGAAGGTAATAGCTAAGTGCGATAATATCGGTATGTAGAGATCCACTACAAAAAATATGGAAGCGTAACGATAGTCTAAGTTTTACACTAGACACGTTTACTCGTTATTGTTATTAAGACAAAATGCAGGTGAGAGATTCCAGTTTGTTTGCTTAAAATTAATCATATATTGTACATTTTTTCAGCTATAGAAGTCTTTTTTAAACGAGAATGTTATCTATTAGACTAAGAGTATAGCATTGCAACTTTTATTTATCAAATATACGCCAAAAATAAAGCAAAAAAAAAGGTAAATATTTCTATATTAGTATTTATCATCCTTTATCACTTGTACCACACAAGAAAAGTCTGATATGTTTTTTTCTGGAAGAACAGGACAATGAGTTATAATCCGATTACTTACAACGTACACCTGTCAGGAAAAACACCCCGAAAAACTAGTGCACACGAAGAAAAATATTATCCATTCTTTAAGGAACACAATTGTCCAGTAAATAATATAATATTATTAATAATCTGTATCATGTGTTTAAAAAGGAAAGAAATGTTCACTTGGACAGATTCCAGCAAAAATAAGCATTGTGATATAACAAGACTTCGGACTTACCCTTCGACGCTAACAAATTACTGTCATGGTATTGTACTTCTGTTGGAGTCTATAATACGTTGTCCGAAGTGTAGTGCTACATCACATGCGAATGTCTTTAATGGTTCTCGGTAGTTACTATTTAAACGAACTCCGAAGATCATAGTTTATTATTTAAAGTTCCCCCAATATATCAAAGTTTTGATCGCTGCTTTGACCATTAAGATCCATTTACAGACTTAAATGTGGAAACCTGTGTGTCATTTAAAAACTACAAACGGGTTTTATCAAATATTACGTGGAAACTCCATTCTTTGACGTTTAGCTAAATTGAGTTAGGTTTGAAAGCCTGTTGCGGAGATAAGGCGCCTCGAACAAAGGAGTTCTATTGAAGGTTATATTTGGAACAGGATTATGCCAAGCAGAGTTAAGCAATTTTAGAAGAAAGTGTCGAATGCTCTTCGGAATAATAAAAAAACCAGTGTAGGCATGTTCGGTAAGTGGCTATACGTTTACATGTTTTGAGATAGATTTCTGTACAGGATAGGAAATCTAATCAAGAAACAAAAGGATTCGGTATGGCTGTGTTAAAATATCTTCTATTTTGTTCAACTTTGATTTGTCATTGAAAATTGTCAGAGACCTGTTCAGTTACCTGTTAATGTCATCAAATATAAGCATACTATTGCTGTTGATGTTATTGTTGATGTTATTGTTGTTATGGTAGATACTTTGAATGTGGTCGATTACTTTTGAAAAATCCTTTTACGCAAAAGGAAAAACAATTCTTCGACTGTTGTGTTATAAATACGGATTCGTAACGAAGGTCGATGCTAGTCCATTTCTTTGCAAATATGGATATAATACTTTGTTGTTTTCAATAAAAACCATCTCTGCCACCTATACGACAACCGCACCGCAGGACATTTCATTCAACCATGCGTCGGCTTTGTTCTGGGATCCCGTAGATTTTTTTCGTATCGAAAATTGAAAAAAAACGCTGATGTGGGTTAATCAGCGTCATGACTTCCCCTTGGGTACTATAATCAACGCAAGAGAGAAAGAGTTCAAGAATAACCAGCGCATATAAAATGTGACCATAACACCTTGGACAGCAAAAGGGAAAGTCATCTTGGACAACATCATTAGAAAAAAAAGGGGGGGGGGGGGGAATAACGAACGCTGTTGAGAGAGAAGCGCAACAACAGTATGGCGACAACAAAAGCCAGACCGGCATCGTAGAGAGTGTTAATTTCCGGAAAAGTGTTTCTGTGTTAACGTGATCATGCCAAAAGCTGGACAGCATAGTGCATGTTAGTCGTTATGGAACAGTAGATAATGCTACAGTATGTCCTCGATATACCGATGTCTGACAACTCAAATGCATGTTAATGTAAATATTTGTTCAACGGGGAACAGTGAGTCGACCCTGCTCATGCTATGTACTTATTGCAATAAAGGACCTCTGAAATACAGCTCCTGAATGCTTGCTTTAAGGTGGGACATTATTGAGGACATCACTCCTGCGTACTAGACAATGGACATCCCCAGTGGGATACTTTGGAAAAATGAAATAGATGGTGATTGCGCTGCGCATGACTTTTAATGACACAGTGTAATTGATTAAATTAGTTCTGGGGCTTCGAGTACCGGTGGGGAGGGGATATATTCATCCGATCTGGACTGCTGCCCAGTACAGCTAGTGATTCACTGCAGTTTGTCAAGGAGAACAATTAGACGCGTGAAAACATTCTGGCCAAAGCGATAATACGGCCGAAAGTAAATACCCTTTCCTTGAATATTCAAAGAGAAACCATGAGATTTTCAGTTCAAACTCCAAAAAAAAATGATCGTGTTTATCATATATAGGTACCGGCGTTATCGACATTCTACGCCTGACTGTGATTGTCCGTATTCTCAATAATTACGTAAAACAATCTTAGCATTCTTTTCCATCCTAGACCCGTTATTTTCATACAAATCAGACGTGACACAGCGGATGCAACAATATCAAAAAAAGTATCCTTTCTAGATAAAGAGTTAAAATATATGTACATCAGTGACATGCTTAAACAATCTGCAAACGCTCAACACGTTTTTACCAATTGTTTGTATTATATTATGGTCACGTATTATATTAACATAATGCCAAGTTTTACAATGTTTCAGCCGACAACGCGCTGGACATTTCTCGAACAATTGGTGTTTCACAAAATAGAGGTCACTTAGTACAAACCTGTAAGACATATGTGAAGTGTACTACGTAATTTTGGGACATTTTTGGTTGTTTGAAACGTGTATCAAATGTGTCTGTGTGTACCAGGCAGTGAATCAGAAATAATGTTAAAAAATTAAAAAAGAAAATTAAAAAGAAAAATATATTCCGTTCAAGTTAATGACAATTGGAATTTCACCGTGTGAATGCTTTTAACACTATATATGTTATGGTCCCAAGACAGCAAGGAAGACGAAATTAATTGGCAACCGCTTTTGAATTCTCCCATAGGGATAAGTCTATTACCATGGAAAACTTTCCTTCAAAGTAAGATCAATTAGCGTTTTTCTTCCTGGCTTGCTTCAATTATCTTGGTTTGTTTCGAAGCTGTATGGAATATCAAGAACGCAGCAAAGTAATTAATTTTATCGGACCGCTCACAGTAGATTACTTGTTTATCTAGTATAAGTCTATTTCCATTGTAAATTTTTCCTTCAAAGTAAGATCAATTAGCGTTTTTCTTCTTGGCTTGCTTCAATTATCTTGGTTTGTTTCGAAGCTGTATGGAATATCAAGAACGCAGCAAAGTTATTAATTTTATCGGACCGCTTACAGTAGATTACTTGTTTATCTAGTAACAAACATAAATGATAGCTGTGACACTTTCCACAGGGACAACTACGGTATATTCTACGCAATCTCGCGTCTGCACACCACAAGCAGAACTATTGTACACTTTGTTGTAGGTACAGCGCATCTAATTCTGTGAGTTCTATAGGCAGATGTGTTAAGGTCTCATGAGAATAGTTTCATTTCAGACACTAGCATGTTTAAAACGTTTGTTAAGTTGACAAGTACATTTAGGAATGTCAATGGTGTTGTGCTATCTGATGATAGCTACCACAGGAAGTACCTCATGTATAAACCAGATATTGGCATTATTGACATCTTGGTATTCCCATGACGATTTTGACTGGAGGCTGTCCACTCCGCATGATATACATGTTTGGATGCACTTTGAGAACACTTTATGATTCAAATCCAGTTCGGAACCATATCGATTGCGAGTGTTCACATTTCGGCAGCTATCGATTGTGTGTTCATATATTCTCTTGACAACTTCTGTGTTCATGTTCAGGATAAGGTCATGACACCATAGACAATGCTTTGTTGACATTAGAAATATCCCTTGAATTGAAAATCGAGCTCATAGATCAAGATTTTATACATAATATTTCCAGTATCACTAAAAACTAAAACTATATTGTTCCATTGTTGAATTAGATAATGCGTTTAACTAAATTTAAGACGCAAGCACAAAACATTAATATCTGAAAGGTTTGTGAGAGGAAAAGAATGCACTACTTTTTGTCGCGGATGCACGAGAGAGAAAGAGAGTAAAGTGTCCACTGACTAAATAGAACAATAGTTAAACGCTACAAAAACAATTGAAGATATTAAACTGAAACATGTTCAAGCGTTAGTGTCAATATCTG